AAATCTAAGCTGTTGTAAGCACATTTGACATACTTCTGTGTCTTACACCCATGGACGATAACCCATCAGCTGACCATACACCTACATGTATCTCCTTTACAGGAGCGTGCCTAGGTAATTGCTGCCTGAGGCAGCCATTTTTGCTGCAACCCCCGATGCACAGCAAAAACAGACACCTCGGGTGGTAGCCTCACTGACGCTGAGCCAATATAAATGGAGATTCAGCATCAATGAGCAAAGTTCCTGACCACAGGACAGGTCCAGTAAGTGGGAGCTCCTGCACAGTGAGGCTGAGCCTGCACTCTCATTAGGCTCAGCATCACTGAGTAATCATGGACATTGCACTTGCCTGTGTGACAGGTGCAGCACCCGGGCAGAGAGCTCAGTAACGCTGAGCCTGTGGTTTTACCGGACTCAGTGTTACTGAACTGCACTAAGGCCATAGTGTCCCATTGATCTCCAGACTTAGTCCCGGCCCCCCACAGTCCCTACCTGAGTCCTGTCTGAGGCACATGCCTCAATTGGACATGTGGAAGGTCCAGCTCTGCTTCTTTAGATCTGTCAACAACTAAAGTATGTAGTGAAAGGACCTGTCTTTTTGGATGTAAATAAAATAAATTAGGTAGCTGCTCATATTACATAGACTGAAGGAGACTGTGCAAAGATTGTGCAATCAGATTGTAATGTGTATGGCTGGTTTTAATGGCACTGCACTAAAATTAGGCTTAACAAATTATTAATTTGGATTTAATGAGTCTTTCTTTGATTGTGGCAAGAACAGACTTATGCTATCCTTCACAATGAGATGATGATAATTTGATCTGTCAGATAACAGGCAGACTGGGAGATAATTAAATAACTATCTCATACCCGTGGCCCATGGAGACCCCCAGACTGATCAATTTCAGGAGGAAGATTTGTTGACTAATGCTGGTCCAGGCTGGTGGTCGCTGTTCCCCTGAGAGAAGGCCGGCACCTGTCTGCACAGGCATAGACATGCACACTTGGCCGATGTTTATAACATGAAACAGGATCTTCCAACCACTTTCTCATGTTTATGGCTAGAAGGGTAATGAATATGTACGGCTGTCCTGATTAGGACGGGATACAATCTTAGGAACCCCTCTATGGCAACATGAAGTAGTGTTATCACTGTAGCTGCTTTAAACACAATTTTCCCATGCAGTACAACATAACAAGAATGCTATTATAATTAAATAAATATAAAAATGATAAAAATATGTCATATATATATATACAGTATATATTCCACTCCAATTTCCTGTTGAATGATTCAAGTAGATTTTGTGTTTAACAATGTTTACTTAGTTTCCATAAAATTTGTAATCTTTGTATATAAATCTAAAAATAATTTATTTTGAGCTAATAAGGACTGACCTGATATCTGCTTACTATCAGTTCTAGTGGCTTTTATAATGTATTTACAGAAAAAGGCCAGGTATAATGTTTGATTATATTATGATTCTATAATAAATGTAATAACAGGTCTGTTTCTCCTAAGCACCTGTTTGTTCTTGAAAGGTAAAGTGCATCGTTACATATATCCCATACAACAGCCACCCCATCCATTCTCAGGCACCTTGAAAGATATGAACAACTGAAACAACAGAAATGTTTAAAAAATCAACTGAAAAAAAGACTAGAATACATGTAAAGATATAAGTAGATTATTTAAAATAAATGATGATATGCAAAGTAACCTATATTAAACAGATTTTGGTTTACTCTAGTGAGATCAATAAAAGATTACTGCTCACTGGTTGCTAGGAGTTGCTGCTCATCCTTGCCTACGTGATAAGTCTGCAAATGTCAGGTTGATATGTCATCAATCCCACATAAGGCTACATTTACAAACATAGACCCTATTATATCTCTAATCATATTTTAGATACAGTTGATCTTACATTTTCTGAAAGGCCAGGTGTCTTTGGGTCTCCATAATCCACACTTGCACCAACCTGTCTGTGACAGTAATTAGAGACTGACTGTTAAGGAGAACCTGTTAGATATGTAAATAAGGTCTTTTTACACAGAGCTAGAACAGATTTTTAAAGATGAAAATACATAGGGAAAGCAACCCACCTAACACTTTTAGGCTGTGGATGGCCCAAACTGTATTAGACTTGGTCATCCACAATGGTGGCCAAACTAGATAGAAATGGCAATTTAGCATGGTTGCTAATATCCATATTGACTGCAGGACAAAAGAAGGGGTTTTACAAGAGCTGTGTACACATACCGATGCAGCAGTCATAAGACCACATCTTCCATTCTAGCTGTTTCATATGCATATGGTGACAAGCTCAGAGATCAGTTATTGACAAAGTATGTCAAAATAACCTTTCTTTTCTGTTATTAGTGGTGCTGCCGTCAACTTTAAAACATATGTCAGCAACATCTCCCATATTTCTATCCTGACCTGCTCAAAAGGAAGCTCAGGAAATATTGGTCCACCACAGGAAACAAACACTTAATTCACAAAGCTCTAACACCAGAATATAAATCCACGTGATTGTAATTTTCAAATCTCATTGGGCTCAGCTGAAAACAACTATCAATTTAAAAAAAATAAGTATCATTATCCTGATGTGTTAGTTGAGCCTATTCTCTTTATGTGCCTGTGTCAAGGGGCTTTTGTTAGATTCAAATGGGTTTAGCATTCCTATTCTCTTTCCCTATGGGAAATCAAAACCTGCTTAAAGTAGGTAAAATGCAGGTCAGAAGAAGGAAAAAAATGCAGGTCAAATATGTCTGCCAATTAATTCCCAAATGGTCTCAGAAGTATAATAAACTGATGCCATTGACACAAGGCCCAAAGCCCATCAACTCTGGCCAAAACCTGCTGATATTGCAGTTTAGCAATCGCAGGAGTGTAGCTATTGACAGAAGGAACTCCAATAATGGTTAAAGGATAGGTAAGCTTTATAAAGCAAACTTTCTTCCTCTATTTAAAAAGTGGGCAACATTGGACAGGGTTGTTTATCATATTTTTCGCCAATTGATTAACTGTTATGCTTTATAAACTCAACTATTGGAGACTTTGCCTATTATTGAAGATCTAAAGTATTTTTATTTCCCTTCTTATTAAGTTTATATAAAGCCAAATGTATAAATAAAATTATTATCTTTTAGCACATCAAATCTGTGTAAGTTTGCATAATAAATAATAACAGCATATGCATGTTATGTATTTGTGTGGCTAGACATCATAAAGACAGGTGTGAAAATCTTTGTGTGCACAGATCAGTTACCTGCCCTCTCTGCCAGCATCTTTTTTTTAAAAGCCCAGCAATTCTCCTCTGTCACCTGTTGCCTTTGGGGAGAGGTGCGTCTGTGGCCTACAATAAAGTGCTCCATCTGCTCTACATAGAAAAGAAGTGGGAACTCGAGCCCATGCTTTTTCACATTAAGAATAGGAAGACATCAGAGTCCACAGTACTGTATACCCTACAATTTTCTATTGCTGTACACTAGATTACAGACTACTGTAGCTCTAGACAAAAAGAGTGTGAAATGGGGCACTGCAAGGAGTTCTATACAGAGGATTGTTCTTCCTTTATTCTATCCAAATATAAAATAAAAGGAGGTATTTTTCAGAGGAGACAGCACTGTTTAGTGCCTGCTAGTTGTTATAAAGCTAGGTATTTGGGGAGGACAGGATCATAGCCTCAGAAAACTGTCTGCTTACACCACAATTTAGAAGAATGTATGATAGCAGGGTGGGGATGACAGAAAGAAGAGAAAAAGCAATATAAACATAAGAATACAAAAAAAAAATCATATACACATGATTGTGGTTCCAAATCAAACTAGAGGACATATTATATACGTTACTCTGTGTCATAAATAT